ACTGGGTTGTGCCAAAAAAAGTTTTGTATCTGTTTTCTGCACCCCAGGCAGCGCGATGCGTTGGCCTGGGCACTTTTTCCGCTCTCTCTCTCTCTCTCTCTCTCTCTCTCTCTCTCTCTATGTGGGAACCAACCAAATANTACGTACGTACGTACGTCGTACGTACGTACGTACGTACGTACGTTACGTACGTACGTACGTACGTACGTACGTCGTCGCGTCGTACGTCGTCGTCGTCGACGTCGTCGTCTCGTCTCTCTCTCTCTCTCTCTCTCTCTCTCTCTCTCTCTCTCTCTCTCTCTCTCTCTCTCTCTCTCTCTCTCTTTTTGCATCAAATCGTGCACTTTCCTCCCACATTACTTTCGGGTGATTCCTACACATAAAAAATACCACGAATTAGCATAAAATCATTACATGACACATATAATATTCACTAAATATGAATAAAATGCGATGTGATATGCATATAAATACACATACTTTAAGCCAAATATCAATCAACATATACGGTTAACTTCAATCCTTTTCCTCAACAACAATATAATCCTACATTAACACCGACCGGAACCTAAATATTATCTTTTTGGACTCAAATTACCTTAATAAGTGTAAAAAAAAAAAAACCTTTCTATATATAGCGTGCAAATACAAAACGCTGTACCTTAATGGTAACTTTTGCCGTTAAGGTATAGCGTCTTATATTTGGACGCTATATAGCCTGACGATTTGACTGACATATATAGCGTCCTTAATTTATACGCTATACATATAGCGTATAAAAAAGCAACGCTATACCTATAACTATCATGAGACCCAGTAGCACCAAACTATCATGAATAGTTATGTGTGTCAAATTCAATATTTTGATAATTTTGTGTGTGTCCGTTTATAATTTAAATTCTTAATTTATAATTATTTAATTGTACAAAGTATATATACCTATTGGGTTCCAGGCTCGATATTTGAGACCCAGTAGCACCAAACTATCATGAATATTTATGTGTGTCAAATTCAATATTTTAATAATTTTGTGTGTGTTTGTTTTATAATTTAAATTCTTAATTTTTAACTATTTCATTGTACAAAATATATATAGCTATTGGGTTCCAGGCTCCATATTTGAGGCCCAGTAGGACCAAACTATCATGAATATTTATGTGTGTCAAATTCAATATTTTAATAATTTTGTGTGTGTTTATTTTATAATTTAAATTCTTAATTTATAA